AAAAAAGGGGGGTGTCAAAGATAATTTTTTACCTCAGTTTTACCATTAGGTCTATTTAAAATTGAACTGCACTGCGTGACCCTCGAAATGCATTTGAATTGCAATGGATACAAGAACACTGCGGAGCACACAGCTCATTCACTCTAGTTGAGTAGATGTCACACCAAGCGATGAATCCCGTCTAACTCTCAAATGTGTGGCACTCCAATAACATTAGTCCCTTCAGCAACTTCAAAATTGAAACTGATGGCCTGGTCACTTAAATGACACCTAATTATTTTAAGGCTTCTCAGAAACAAAGCCTACTTGAGCAACCCACAAACTATGGATAATCATATTAAGGAGCTAATAAACAGTATATTTAAGAAACATGATTACATAGATATTAACAAAGACATACTTTTATTTAACCACTAATCTTTGAGGCATTAAACTTGGCACAGGTAAACCATCAGTCTGAAACTGGCCTAGGACCTATGTTTGTAAATAAAGTTTAATTGGAACACAACCACATCTATTCATTTACAAATTGTCTGTGGCTATTGTCATGCTGCAACAGCAAAATTAAGTATGTGACAGCTCATATGGCCCACAAAGGCTAAAATATTAACCATTTGGCCTTTCATCACAAAATTTGCTGAGCCCTGACTTAACATCTCACTTATGCACAAGATTCAAGTTAATATTAAATTCCATATAGTCTCTATTCAATTAATTACTAATTTTTCAGAATTTCTCTTTTGAACTTGGAGTGCTGATTAATCTAAGCTATTTCCTAAGCACTACACTATCTGTTGAATAATTTTAAATGAGCTCTACTTTTAAGAAAAGTTCTATGAAACCACTTCATCACTATCCAATTAAAATTCTAAAGAAAAAATTACATGCCTTAGTATTTTAAGAAATCCCAATATAAGTACTTTATTTCTAGACTCATAAACCTACAAATTGAGGCATATGGACTACTTTTAACTCATACCTAATCCTGGTCTCCAAGTATCATACCTTGTTTCTCATCCTTGAATGATCCTCGGGTGTATCTCATCTCAATTATGAGCAGTTACAAAACTGGCTAAAAAATGGATGATAAGCAAAGTGCTTTCAGAAAAATGTAACT